AACAGCAACCCCCTCAACTTAAAGCCCCCCCCCCCTCCCCCCCCGGCCCTGTACACAAACATCTGGGACTTTCCTCTGCAGAGAAACATCTGTAATTCTCCAGAATCTCTCCACTTCGTCGTGTGTGTGTGTGTGTGTCACACGGATGTTGGAGCACGAGCGCGTCTGTGAGTTTGAAGTGAAAGTTTGCAGACTCACCGACTCGCTGCAGGAAGTCCAGACTGAAGAGTCCACGTTCTCTGCAGAACCCTGCGAGCTGCGGACAGAACACATCTGCGGTGAAGAGACCTGGAGCGAAGGGCCAGGTGATGGATCATCGTGAGGAGCAGCAGCTGCAGATCTGCACCGAGACTCAGGCTGAACAAACTCCGCTGCTCCTCTGGAAGGAGGGAGGCAACCCTGCACCGTCCCGGAGTACCGGCTCCGGCCTGCTGGCGGCGCCATGCGCTGCGAACACTCGACAGAGTCCCCGGTTTAGAGCCAGTTAATTCATCAGGAGAGAAGCAGTGAGAACTTTTTCATTAATCAGCACTTTAGAAACGTTCCTCTGATTGTTCCTCTGTCGGTTTGCTGGATTACATAAAAACTACAGGACGGATCACCGACAAACTTTGTGGAAGGAAGCAGGAAGGAACACACTGTCATTCCAGGAATGTAGGAAGTGTGCAATGAGGTAAAGGGTGTGTTACAGTATCACATGATATCTATGTTTGTGTTTTGTTGGAGCAGAATATTTCACTGAGAGACGTTCTATCAAAATGTGCTTGATGCAAAAACCCCATCTGTAACACTTAAAGACGATTAAACACAGTGGGAATAAAAACAGAGTTCATCTTTATTTATTCAAGTTACTGTGGACAAATAAACACACTTGTCATGTTGATGCCCCACCCCCATGTTTATTGTTAAAAGTAAATGATCTGAGCAGCCGCGCCTGTCGAGCAATAAGCTGCGGTCGGGTGGATTTCTAAAGAAGCAGCACAAAGCAACAAAAGCCTGGTCTGAAGTCAGTGGTGCAGGATTTCACTGTATTCTTGTGGTTGTAACTCACAAATGATCCGGGTGAAGTGACACTGAAGCACTCTGATCGGCCAACACTTAATTATCCTGCTCCCGGCTCAACATTCTCTCACTTTAAACACACGTGCACGTTTCACTGCACAGTTTTCAGTCCTCAGCTTCTCTCAGGCGGAGAAGAGAAGAGCTCCTCTTTCAGACGGTGGTATCGTCCTCTCTTGGCCATGAGTTCTCGGTGTGTCCCCTCTTCCACCACTGCTCCGTTCTCCATGAAGATGATGTGATCTGCCTCCTCCACAGTCTTCAGCTGATGAGCCACCACCAGGACTGTCCGACCTCGGGACAGAATCTCCGGCAGGACCTGAGGCACAGAAACTTACAAAGTTATACCAACAAGCTTCTTCATCTCATCGATCCTTTCGACCCCTGGGAGTCCACGTGGACACAGTTTGAATCTGTGAATGTGGATAATGCTGTTACGGTAACGATCTCCATGTTTCACTTACAGCGTGCTGTGCTTTGATATCCAGTTTGCTGGTGGCCTCGTCCAGTAAGAGGACCTGCGGTTCTCGGACCAGAGCTCTGATGATGGCGATGCTCTGCTTCAACCCATCTGAAAGTTTGCTGCCACATTCTCCTGTATCTGTTCCATAGAGTTCATTTAAAAAGAGTTCAGTCAAGACTGCAGGCGTGTTTACGATACACTGTGTGTACAAGCTAAAAGTCACATAACCTTCGCAGCCACTGTTTAAATTCAGTTGTTATTGAAACGTCTCATCACCAGAACAGTTTCTTCTTTGTTGTGTCTATAAACAACAGATCGCAGCTGAACACGTCTGTTAAACATTAACGTACCTGTGTCGTACTCATTCTCCAGTTCAGATATGAACTCATCTGCGTTGACCTTCTTTGCGACTTCTTTAATCTTCTCCATGCTGCAGTCCTTCAGGCCGTACTCAATGTTGTATCTCAGCGAACCAGAAAACAGCACGGGATTCTGGGATACCAGGGCCACCTGAAACACAGAGATAAAACAAGTGAAGAAAGAATAAGAACAATAAGAAGAAGAACTTCATCTGCAGCACAGATTGACGGGATTGAGACAAACAAACGCACAGGGGGGAAACATGACCTCATCGGTGGAGGTAAAACAAAAAGATGATTCCGCCATGATTTTTACGGTGCAGTGATTTAAGCCTCCGTCCACCGAGTGACTGTACCTGTTGATGGAGGTACTTGTGTTTGTAGCGGTGCAGCGGTTCTCCGTCCAGCAGGATCTGTCCCTCCTGAGGTTCATACAGCCTCTTTAGGAGACTGACACAGGAAGTCTTTCCACTGCCGCTGGGACCCACCAGAGCGGTCACCTGGCCCGGCTGCAGCTCCATAGACACCGACTGGACAGAACATGGTAACGGAGAAGTGATGAAAACACTGTTGTACACACAGTGGTTCAGAGTCCAACTAGAACTTCCAGCCTGTCAAACAGTTACCTTCAGTACTGTGGAATCTGGAGGAGATGAAGGGTACGAGAAGGTGACATTCTGGAAAACAATTCTTCCTCGCAGCCTTTCAGGAGCTAAATCTCCGGCCTTCTTACACTTTGGTGTCCTGTCGATGTAACTAAATACTTTGGCAATGACACCCATTGTGGACACCGTTTCTCCGTAGCAATACAAAATCTCCTGTGACAAAAACAAAGAATCAATAACTGGCATAGGGTACGTACTTCACAACTCAAACGTGAGTATCTGTCTTAGTCTGACCCTTAGATTGTCTGACATGGGCTTCTGGTACAAGAAGAAGGACACAAGGCTTCCGATGCTGAGCCGGTCAGACGAGATGAGGCTGCGGGCTTGGACCAGCATGAGGATCTTTATCGTCAGAGTCACGAACTGAAGGGAACACAACGTCGAGAACAAATCAAACAACATGTACGGCAGCCCTGACTGGAAAATATAGATATTTTTAATTT